TTTCCTTCTATTTTTTTCGAATTAATTTTTTTTCAATTTTGCATTTTTTTACGCGATAAAATAATATATAGATATAAACACGTGACATTTTCATTTCCTAAAATTTTCGGTTTATTCTCAATGTAATAACTTATTTTTTTACCTATTTAAAGAAAAAGTGTTTCCGTGATTGATATTACTTTTATACTAAAATTATCGTTTTCTTGTTATGAATTTTTTTACAATATAATTTTTCATTTTTATAAATTGTTATTATTGTCCAATCTTATTTGTAAGAGTACGGCTACAGTTCTGCATGCAAAAATTAAGCTTGCATGTACAATTACTAAATTTGATTAGTTTTGCCCATAGAAACGCAAAACGTAGGAAAGTTTTATGGACAAAACTAATCAAATTTAGTAATTCACAGAGCTGCTTTGTGAAGTTGGCAACCCTAAATGCGAATTTTGGTAAAATCATTTTTGCATTCGTTTGTCCACTGTTTGTCCACGTTTGTCCACCCTCCCAAAAAAAGTTATATACAAAAAAAAGATTGCAGTACCCCCAAGTGATTATTTTCCATTCTTTTATAGAACGGTGCAAATAATGCGAAATAAAGAGATAACAATTTTTATATTCTGAATTAATCCGTCATTAATTAACTTTCCCGGCAGTCTTCAAAAATAAAGTAGATCTCGTGCTTACAGTCTTTGAATAGTATAACACAGACTGTGATTAATGAAAGTAAACCGTTGCGCCGTAAATTAAAGAGAATTGCGAAGATAAGTTAGATAACGATAAATTATATGGTCTGCAAACGCAAAGCGAATTACGACTATATTTAAACGATTCACCTTCCTACAATGAACTTCAAGTTTCTGTTGACATTGTTGACATATGTACAAACATAATTACATGAAAATGACTGACGTATAAGAAGACTTTTTTTCATAATCCCCCTCGTTATGACGGCTTCTGTATAATGTCACTTCACACGTCGGTAATTACGCCCGTGATTATGTTTGCCTAGTTGTCAGTTGTGTCAATAGAAACTCGGTGTCTCATAATCGCATTTGATCCAATTTGTTTGCAGATCATCACGAGTTGTGTCTGTGGCGATCATTTTTAATTCGCGCACATTCTAATTTATAGACTCGTAACAGCCACTGGACATATTAAACAAACGCAATCATAATGAATCAATAAATCACTTCGCTCGCTATACGAGTTGTCTCGTTCCATCGGGAACAGTTGCAACTGCGGCTTCGAATCATCAACGTTAACGATTACGATTGTTTCCATTTGAATTACAGCCCGCGGCATGTACGGATAAAGCTAGAAAATTAAATCCACCAGAATTAACGTTACTCGATATTATATTGGTGCAATATATCTCCGAAACCATTACACACTTAGTGTTATATACCGACAATTTTGGTTGATTAATTTCATTCGGCGGTCTGTCTGTTTCCAAATAATATATAGTTCCGGTTACAATATACAAACAAGTAAGAATTTTGTTAATCTTCGTTGATTTTAATCGGCATTTATATAAACTCATAATTTTTTTCTGTAATTATAGTTCAGTTCTTCCTCTTCACATAAAAAGATCGATTAAAAGAAACGAATTGTATATATCTATAGAAGTTTGCTCGCCGAGTTGAAATTGTAAATCACATTCGACTTGAAATCAGTTATGTTCGTTTATTGAAATATTGAAAATAATTCAATTGCAAACGTAATGAATAAATCGCTTCTTTATTTCCGCTCCGCTCGGCAGTTGCGCTTCTGCACAGTAATTACTGCGTTTAATCGCATTTTAAACGTCGTGCAAATCGCTCACCTATTATGCATAAGCATCCGGTTATACATCGTATCTATTGGTACCAACTGTTCGCCAACTTGCTTTTCATTTGATCTCTTTGATTCTCAGAAGTTCATGAAAACTTTTTTTTTTTTTTTTTTGTATAATTCTCAACTTCAAATGCATTTTTATTAGCTTTATTAACGTTGCGACTGCATTAAAATTTCTTGTAGCACAGAAGGTTTGAAAAACTTGAAAAAGATATGAAGGAAATGAATTAACTAATTAAGGTATGTTGCAGCATATCCCTCTTATATAACTGCGAAAACGTGAACTCTGTAAAACTGTGGGAAAGTGAAGGAAATCTTTGTGTGATTGCGACAGAATTTTATCACGTAAAAATTTAATCGGCACGAACGCGATAAATCACGTATTTGCGATTCGTAATGTTTGGTATTCCGTAAAACTAATGCCAACGTCAGAGGATCGATATTTTATGACTAATCTACGTGTAATTGTTATTGAGGCGCCGCTATATAGTTTAGCTTGTTCAACGGCTATTATCAAAGGCTACCAGTAAGGCGATAAAGAGATATCGAACGGTCAACACGGCATCGACGTAAGGTACGATTCATCGGCGGCGATACGGATTCCCGATATTCTATTTGTCGTTGCGTAAGAAAATAATCAGAGCGATTTATAACACGGCTCTCGCTTAACGAAATGATCACTTTAACGACAGTGCGTGTGCGACATCGGTAAGTCCGTTCCTTCGAGCTTCCATTTCACTCCTAACTGCTGCCAATCGAAAGTCAGCACAATTTTCCCGCCCAATACACATCCGGTCGCTGTAAGATTAAATCGCGGTTATTATTCTTTCAAATTGCACTGCACGAAGCTCTGTTGCGACTATTATTGATAAACAATAAGTCGCAATTTGATCTCGTCGATACGCGACTTCTTTTTCGCGGCGCGTGAAAAACCGCGGCGGGGGGGGGGGGGGGGAATCGATCCTCGCGATGAAGACGATCGAACGAGTGTGTGAACGAAATTTTTTTTGTCGTCGTGATAATATTTATTCCACTTCGCGTCAAATTGTTCCGTAAGTGTTCTAATCTACGACCGTTCGCGAACGGGATAACCGACGCTAAAGTGCGCCGAGTTCATCGAGTTTGTGAGCTTACACTAAAACAAGTGTACGCACATTGAGATTTGTTATATTTTTGTATAAAAGAATTTAATTTATTGGCCAAATTGATATAAAAAAGACAGCGATTAATTACTTATTTTAATTGTAATCAAAAGGACTGTTGTTCAGTACTTTCAGTACTGTAAATACTCGTTAAGTAATCAGTTGCTGTCTTTCAGCAGTAAATTGGCCCAGGATTGAATCGGATAGTATTAGCTAGATTTCTGTAAGGATATTGATTACTGTATACCTCTTTATTTGATTATAATCAGCTTCGTAAATCAGATTGTGTGCTTTATAAACCATTTATTTGATAAGTTATTTATCCTCGTTCGAAGTTTTAATCGAAGCGGTGCAACTGTTGTTCTTCCATCTCGAAGTTTTTTACCCGAATAAAAGCGCGTAACGTAATTGCATTTAAAACTAAAAGGACACTCCGATGCCAAGCGCGTGATTCACGGAGTGTATATTCTGTATATCGTGAAATTGTAGTTTCGTTATATATTATTTCCCAGTTTCCTCGATTTTCCCAGCGACCGTTTGCAAGCGCAAAGCTATCATCGATTCTCGCAATTGAGACGTGGCACGCATGTGCGTAACGTGCTTACCGGTTACGGGTCGACGACGCAGAATGCGAAGTAAATCTCGTCCTGGATTTTATTGATCTTTCCGTTGACGCGAGCAGAGTCAGCCGTAAGGATAACTTCTTATACTTTTGTTCCGCGTGGTTCAATCGGTGGAAAGAAATATTATACGACGTGCTGTCACCTCGCATTTCGCGCGAGAGAAGAAAGCAAAGGAAAGAAAGAGATTCGTCGGTGCTCTTGACAAAATACCGGGCCGAGACTCATTACGCACTTCACCGTACGAGACCGACGTCCGCAACGCGGAATAGATTAATCAGCGGAATGTCACGAAACGAAAACCCCGAACCGTAAAGTTGAGCTCGAGGGATTGATTCGCGTTTGGTGGTTTAATCAGCAGCGCCACTCGCTCGCATTAACATTATTACAACGCGCGTTCGGTACAGCGCGCTATCGATTTTCCCTCGGTTTATATTAGGGAGAGCACCGGTGACAGGGAAAATCATTTTCGAATTGGGGGTGGCACATTACGGAGAGTAGATTTTAATAGTACGCGGTTTTCTCGCGTTGAAACTCACGTGAAATTTATCGAAGCGAACCTAGTACCATATGTCTATATAAGCTTCGAACGAGCTTGGAGATTCGATATTAAGATTTGATGAAAAAAAAAGTACTTTGTGTAAGCATGAGAGATGATATTTTGGGACAAATTATTTCTTCATTGTCAGATAAATGCCTCCATTTATTTTGATGTTCGCGCAAATTGAAAGATACATGTGGGCGCATTCATCGTGCAGTATTTGCAGCTTTTTCTACAGAAATTTTCTAGAAATGCATTCAAATTAGACTTAATGGACGAGTTTGATATTAGAATTTCGCATTCTCTCTCCTTTTGCAGAACAGAAAAATACATATAATTATTAATTTAATTTCACCGTTACTTTTTGTGTTATTATTTTCTTATTTATTGTATGAAGCTGAATTTCTTGATAAAAAGAAGATATCACGAATAAATATGTAAATACATAAAAAAAAAAAGATAAGATATCTCGCACATTATTTTAAAAGTTCTACCTCCATAAATGTTTTATCGAGATCGCGATTGGATTTAATTAGATTCCAAATACAATTAAAAAAATTCTCTATATCCTCTCGTTCTTCGTACTCGACGCTTTTCTCGACAAGGGCCCTCCCCTTTCGACATAAAGACGATTCTTATGGAGACTTATATTCTGTGCGCGGCGACCCCGCCCGACCTTGACCATGACGCCCCGTTTCAGGGTCTAGGCCTGGAGACGTCGGCCGTTGCATCCCGCATTGCCGTAGCGACCGCTATCGACCCGCGATCGAGATCGCGCCTCGCGACGAACGGCAAAAGGAAGGAGTGGGAGAGAGAGGTGGTGACGGATCGGAGGCAGCCGAGCGAGAAAGAGAGATCGAGAAAATGACCCCCACTCGCGGCAATGAGGAAATAGAGGGGCGCACTTATAAAGACTATGCCTACAGCCCTGTACCAGTGAGTTCCCTTACGGCGGTGAATGGTACACCCCCGGTCAGAGAATCGGTGGAATTGGACACACGGAACTCGTCATTACGCGCCAACGGACATAGTGTTGCCGAAGACATGACGGAGGAGGGTTCCAAGCGCGTCCAGTTCCTGGCTGCTGCGGCGGGTAAGTCCCTAGTCTATAAATAAAAGATTAAATACCAAAGAGGGAGAAAGATCTGATTAATTTAAGAATCCATTAATTATCGAAGCACTATCGTGTCACGGAGGCTTTGCGAATTGTTTATTTTAATCAAATTATACATTTCATGAAGAAATCAACTTTAAAAAATTTGATTGTAAAAATTAGAAGAATTTCCTAAATTTTTTTTTTTTAAATGGAGTTGATACTTGATAGATTAATTTTTTTAATCGTGTATTAATTTAATTTATTTGTTTAAAAACTTTACGTGTAAATCGTCAATATAAAAGTTATATTATTCTTATAAAGTTACACTATTCTGTTTTATTATGGAAACAATAGAGATTATCTAGGACATTTGTATTTTAAATACAAGCTTATAAAGTAAGATTCTAAATAATAATAAACGATGTATTATTTATTTAGTTTTTATAATTAATTATTTGAAGTGCTTTTCAAATTAAAATGCAGCAAAATTTCTATCGGTACGATATGCTGAATTAGAAATAGTGATGAATTTATAGTTGAGACGAATAATCACCCTTGCGTTACACAATCTGATCGATCGACTCGACGCTCTCTTGAGGGGAAACTCGTTCTTTATATTCTTCATCATATTTCAGTCGTTTTGTGTTTTTGAAACTCGGAAAAGATCAAAAGCTAAATTGAAATATATCTGTACAATGTATAATATTAGATTTAATTTCATTCCTTTTGCGCGGCATTGTTTTTTTAATCTTCCTTCAAAAGGAGAATTGAATTACATTACACATTCATCGACATAGTTCAGTCCAGAGGGTTTGAAACGAATAGATTGGATAATGGGACGATAAATCATGCTATTTGCTTTTTAATAGTGCACTTACTTTTGATGCGTGTGATATTAATTGAAGAAAATGAAGAGGCATGATACGCGGCCGCTCGCTCTCACCACGTGTGTGGAGCACACTGCAGCTGCACCTTGCAATGCGCGTGATGCAACCGTCAGTGTTCGCGAGAATCAAAATTATTCTGCACGTATATATCTTTATAAAAATATATATACATTCAATTCAACATGAGGTATGAAATAACGCTCAAGTTGAATATTAACGATCCAGTTGGTAGTTTATCGTTTAAATGTCACTTCGGACCGCTGACGTCTAGTTGGGTGTATTTTTTAGGAGGTTATTTTCCGTCATTTTTTTATTTTGGCCATAATTAATAAAATATTTATGATTTTTTTTGGTTTTCTTGATCGCAACGAATGATTTATTAAAACTAGTCAAGGACACGATGCGAGTACGTGAAGTAGAATTATTCAATTTTAATTAATGTTATATGCATCATTTTTTGATGGTATCATGAAAATATCACTAATCATGTTACTTTATCAAAATTTTACGAAAGTAATCCATAACGTGATAACATAATGATAATGTATAAATGGAAATATTATTTCAGATAAATACATGTGTATAGTGAAATACGAATGCGTTATCATGATATAATATAAGCATTTATACATTGAATTTCCAATTATCTCATTTCCGTTTCTAAAGTTAACAATAAACACGTCATAATCAATAATGAAAAAGATAACGTGACTCTTCACAGCTTGATAAAATAATAAACAATGATAAATTTCATCGAAAGAATTTTTATTATTTAATAAGTATTTTTTATTGCAAACTTTATCCTATATTACATTTATTAAATCGTTTTCCTTAAAGGAAAGAAATAAGAGCTCATTACGAAGACAAAAAAAATTCCATTATGATGTTTTTATAATGTTTTTCCCTAATGTATAAATGACGAGCATCGAAGATTCGCAATTTACCAGGAAGAAAAAACCGTGTACACGGCAAGAATCGAAGGATCGCCACTTAGCCAGGAAAATAAACGCGTATCTGATCGCTGTTAAATCCACACGGTTTTAGCGCGGCGAGAAAGAAGAAACCAACATAATTATTCCGTTGGATAATTTCGGCTGACCGACCCGAGATCAACCTCGAGCCAAGATCAAACTTGAAGTATCAGCATCGAGCGAGCCACTCGGAGAAAGAACGACGCCGCGTTACGTGCGCTATACGATTCATGTCCATAGGCAAGTCCTTCGCGTCCTCGGACGACGGGAATATTAAACGATTCACATCCGGCGCTCGGCCAAATTCAATCTTAACCGACAAAGATCGCAATCGGTTTAAACTACTTCCTCATTACCGGTATGCAGGCGGTAGCCGGTCGAACGAGACCTCGAAATGAGAATCCCGAGTCGAACGGGGAGGGGGTCTCTCTTGCGGTGCAAATCAATCGAATTCGTAATGAGACTAGCGGCGAACCCGCTTCAATTGTTCGGTAATGATCGTCGGTCGGATTGAGAGCAATCCGACTGCCGATGGGAATCAGCGCTCTCGGATACCAAAACCGGAGTGAAACGATTAAGTAATTTTCACCTTACATGGCTGGTGAAAATATTTCGGTTATTGGTGTGTCAAACTTATGTCAAATTTCATTTACCTGAAAGTAAAAATGTCGGAGGTGCGAAGTAGATGGTGCATTACGGTAAATCTATTCAAGTAATTATTCCCTTATAGTGAAATAAATTCATATTCTTCAAAACTGCAAGCATAAACGACTCACAAAACTTTATACACTTGTACTTTTTACTGCGCAGTAAAATGAATTTTATCGGCGATAAGGTAAAAAATACTCATCGATAAGGTTAATTCTATATACTAAGATATGTGGTAATTTATAAAATACATTTACTTCTTACGAAATGTAAAAAGTTCTTACGGTATAATTATACGACAATCGCTTATTTACCAGAAAATTGAAATAAATTTTACACGAGATACCTGTCCTTATAATAAACTTGCCAATTCCAATAAAATTTATTAGAATTCTAGTGTACATTTATATTTTAAGAGGCAGTATTACATTATTTTTTTTTATTAATTAATCTAGTATCTCTTTTTCTCGAATATCAATCGTTTCCAAGATTATTTTATATTTCTCTTCGTAGTAGGATCAATAAAAAAAGGAATATCAGATACTTCTTCGTTCTACTAAATAAGAAGAATCCACGTGCTCGGATTCTTTTTCCGTGTTTAAGTCGCACGCTGAATCACGTAGAGCTAATATATATTTAGGTAAATCACCGCGCGCACAACAAGTACCTATACATAAAAATTCAGATCAGCTCTGATTAATTCAGCAATGACGATCCGCGCGAAATCAGAAATCCGCGCAACGTGAGAGCCGAGAATCCTTGAACGCGAGGAAACGGTAATCCCCGCGTCCTTAACCACCGATTATTTATTTATACGGAAACCAACGGATTTGATTTCACTATTGTTACAAACGTGAACTGGCGTGATAACCGGGCAATTCGTATTCGTAGGATCGACTTGTCCTCGTGACGGAAGACCGGAGTACTTCCTGTACGGCGTGTAATATTATAAAATATATGTATGTAGACATATTGCAACTGCAAGGTGTGTATATCGTATTATCTCCTATACATCCAACGAATGAGCATCTGATGCAAGGCATTTGTTAAGTTGCTTGACAAAAGCCGGTTTAATTCTCAGTCAGCTCGAATAAGTTCAATTCTAGTGAAAGTGAAAGTCGCTTAAATATTCATCGGAATTTTTGTATTGATGATTTTGCATATAAGAGTGCATTTGTCAGCCTTCACTCTTGAAGATTTTAAATTAATTTATTCCATCACGTAAATGAGAGTTTTAATGTAGACTCGTACGTGAATAATGCAGGTCGCTGGTTAATCTCTCGACGTGACAGCGTCATAAGAGATATGTGATAAACGCATCTTAATTCATACCTGCCACCTTTAAAAATCTAATATGTCAATCTTGTTTATTAAACCGCAACTTCGCTTTGATGTAAGATGCAGTTTTAAGATTAACTGGAATCAATTTGGAAAATGAAATGTTATTGTCTCTTGACTATGGACGACACAAACGTAATTGAAACAACTTTTAATACACGCTAAGTGGACTCGATGAGCAGGTTCTCGTTTAAATGTCGGTTAAGAGAAAATGGGTTCGATATTCATAAAAAAAAATTTCATGAGAAAGAAAGTTTACAATTTTGGCAACGTTCTCCGAAGCGATTCGCATGTTTTCTCTCATATTCAGAATAAAATTCTACGATTCATTCCGTCTTTTATGGCGAGCTGTTTATCCAATAATTGTTTATCTTTATCAGCCTTCAATGACGAGATCTCGCGCATGTAAAAAAAATGCAACTTCACTATTTTACGGTATCGACAGCTACGCGATAGATACTTCATTGTCATGATACTTTTATATTTTCAACCGAGATTTTCCCGAATATATTGTTATCCGCGGTAACGCCTCTTTCACGCGCCTGTCGTTAACCATCGATTACGTTCTATCCTTTCCTATCGCGGTTGTCACCATTTTTAATTCGTTGTAATTTTATGTGTGTGTCCGACACAGTTCAATGTTTCATCGCGCGGACGTCAATGTTTGTCGATTGATCGTGGTGCAACGTCAATATGATTTTGCAACATATGATGGTGACAATATTTACAAATCACGCATAAAAATATACGCGATGATGATCCAGACTTTTTTTTTTCATATCGAGTTGCAAACACACGCTAATCGTATTCAAACATAATCGTGCTACGTCACGCGTTCCATTATTGTAATTCATTAGGCGATTTATTGTCGTGATTATTATTCGGCGATGGGAGGAGGCCTGTTCTTTTTGCATATAAAAATGCGATTATATTTTCTGTTAACTGTAATTTAGATATTGCCTTATCTCGCTGGAAGTGAATTTTATGACCGCATCTCTCTCTCTCTCTCGGCATGATTGATGATTTTTCAATATCTTTGGATTTCCTGTATCTCTTCCAATATTTTTAACGTAATTTTTTGGAACATCATAGGTGATGTTATGGCCTTTGTAGGCATAATGGTCTCTCTTAATATCTCCACTTAGACAGTAAATTGT